GGGCTGGCTGGCATGTGGTGCTGGGGGATCAAACTGCAGTCCCTGTGCTTTACCAAGCTTGTTCCAAGTAGGTGCTTTAGACCACTGAGCCATCTCACCAGCCCCTCTTATTTGTTCTTGGCAGAATAGAAAAGGGTGGAGATCAGACACAGGAGGCCAGCCACACAGCAATCATAGTGATGCCTGGTCACCTGCGTTACCTGTGACTCAGGGACGCATGCATATGTCTAAACCTTCCTACGGCTCAGACACAGCAATGCAATAGGTCTGTCTGTTCTCTCCTTTGCTGCCTTAGAAGGATGTGGGAGGAGTAACTATTCCTACCACTTCCTGGAAAAATCTAACTCTAAGCCATTTCTGTCCTCACTGAAATCTGCTGTGGGTTTTAAGAGCCATTGAGACCACCCCTTAAAGAACAAGGAGAATTGAGTGTCAGGGATACCACAGCGAATCCCAGAGAATCAGGAAGCAAAGAAACTTCTTAGACCAGAAAGAAGGACAGGCCTGAGGGAGCTGGCTGGTCATGGAGGGTCCATGGTGACGAGGCCCTGCTGCCTCCCGCTCTGCTGAGCAGCGCAGTGGGTCTCCAGAGCATGTGACCTCCCCCCTGTAAATACGAAGACAGCGCTGGTACAGACACCCAGCCAGCGTCGGGTGGCGAGCCTCTACTCCTGAGGTAACTTGTGTGACTCAGAAACTGCTTTGGGCGGCACTTTTTGCTATTTTAAATTTTAATTCTTAACTCAATATAAACACAAGAAAGAAAAATACATTAGGTTATTGCATTCTTCTTAAAACAAACATGCGATCAACTTGAATCTCTAACTTTAAATCTCACAAAAAGTTTTCTTTTGCAGTAGCAGATTATATCTCCTAGGCCATCACTTAGCATCTCTGTCTTTTAAACACAATGGAGCCTGGAGCAGTTTATATATCACGAAGCTTTGCTACACTGAGACGTTTCTGGCCGGGAAAGGCTTTGCTTCAGGCTAGATTCCTTTGAGAAAGCAAAAGAGATGGACGTCACAGGGTGAGAATGCAAATCTTGGGCTGGTCAGATAGCTCAGTGGACTAAAGGGCCTGCTTAGGCAGACGCAGGGACTGGGGTTCAAGCTTGGATGTGCAGTGTCCACCCTGCCTCCGGGGCGCACTGAGATGGCAACTGCGACTGCATGTGGTGGCCACCCCTATAGTCCCAGTGCTTGGGAGGCTGAAAACAGGAGGATCACTACGAGTCTGATCTACATAGTCAGACCCTATAGACCCTGTACAAAATACAAAAAAAAAAAAAGAGTTCAAATCTTAATATTTCAAATTTAAGTGATGTTGTAGATCTAAAATTATTTACTCTCTGACTTTTAAAGCCTCTAGCAAGGTTTCCAACATTTTTGTAAACTCATTCTTAGACAACAGGATTGAAATGGGGTGGTTATAGCTGGGTTAACATGCGGAACAGGTTACACACACACACACACACACACACACACTTTTATCACTGCTGCTACTAGAATCAAATTCCTTTTTGTTATCACATGTGAATTAATAGCGCTCTTCATAATCTCCCTTCACTAAATCTAGAGAAAATAAATTTAGATGATTAAAGAAGACAGAGACCAGCCTTCAAAGAACTACTTTAGGAACTGGAGGGAAATTTTGTATTGACACAAAATACTCCCCAGAGTACCCCCAATAATTTTACCTTTGATATAGGTAGAAATACAGAAGCTACAAAGTTACAAAACACCACCCCAAACTTTCAATTCTATTTGACACCTTAAGCTTTCAATCTTAATTTTTGTTTCAGCCCTTCTTTCTTCTAATCACTTCAAGACAGACTAGAAAAACTAGTAAGAGTAAAAGCTTACTATCCCAAATTTGCTTCCCCCCACCGTCAAATGCTGCCCTGTGACAATCTGTAGCTTTTATATCTGCTTCAATGCCCAGGACGATCCACATGCTGGCTGCATAGTGAAAATATCTTCGACTGTTTATTTCACAGAGAAGAGAAAAATGAGCAGAGATTGAGAAGCATGATTAATAGCCCATGAGATGGCCCTGTGGATCCATTAGACGATAACTGCTGCTTTCTCTTACTAGCTAAATGTTAGTTAGTGGTACTTGCCAAGCTAACAGTATTTAGGTTTAAACTGATTACTGGTAATGACCAGCAGCTTCAACGATGCCATAGGACCAAAGATCTTCAGCACCTAACAAGTCTACTTCTGAGTGACTTGGAGAGAAAGAGGAGGCATGGCGGGGCTGAGACTGTGGCTCTGCTGGAGTGAGCTTGCCCAGCACAAGGCGAGGCCCTGGGCTTCATTCTTGGCATCGTACCATTAAAAAGAGCCCCGTGTTTTCATGGTTATGCTACACAAACCTTTAGGGACAACAGGAAAAATATATAAAGGGAGCAATAAGAAAATCATAAAATTAAACACTGTCTTTAAAATCTAAATAGTTAAAATTTTAAATCAAAAGTTCACATGGCTCATAGATATTGGTCTAGAAAGTAGGCACATCTGTCTTTCGGTTGAGAGCTTCACTTTGCAGCCCTTCTGCAACCCATCTCTCGGATGCTGGTCAACTGAAGCCCCCTTCTCCTAGGAGGTATCAGCTCACCCCTCCCGGGCCGATGCCTCTTGCTCACTCACTAGAATAGTAACCTGGTCAGTAGGGTTCAGCTTCCTGCCCTGAGTTTGCCATACCTGACCCACGTGAATGTGCCAGGTGGTGGGTCACAGCCTATACTTAGGAAAAAGAATACCTCGCCTGTCACATAGGATCCCGGAAGCCTCACTGAGGAGCGGGTGACCACCAGGGGGCACAAGAGAGACAGACTTGCTCTCTGCTGCACTGTTGCCACTACTCCTTCCTCTGCTCTTCACTGTTTTCCACTGCCGTGAACTGCTGCCTTCTGCCATGTGTCACTCTGCCTTGGAACCAGTTGAGTATGGACTGAAACCTCCACAAACTGTGAGCTAAAAAAACCCTTTCCTTCCTTAATTCTGGGTGTCAGGTGTTTTGTCCCAGCAATGAGAGAAGAGTACCAAGACAGAATTTGGTACCAAGAGTGGGGTTCGGACCTACACGGGCACCAGCCCATTGGATGGGAGGCTTCGAGATATCAAGAGAACAGGTCCTATCCAGTTCCCACTGGGAGATGACATTAGCTGCTGTGAAGACTCCTACAGGCTGGCATAGACCTGAAACCTGCTGACAAGGACAAGCAGAACCTCATTGTACCTGGTGAGAGGATCTCCGTTCAGGTGTAGAATGCCCCATCTAACCCAGCGACCACACTGTCCACACTAGCCAGGGTGACACTGAGAGTCAGAGCACACAGGTATGGAATCTCAGGAGTGAAACAAGGTCAACCCTCCAACAGTGACTGGGGAAACCACAGTTCTGTCCCGAAGCCCAAGTTCCTGTGATGAAGGGAACATTTCTACCAGGTGGCACAGGAGGCTTCCAAGGAGCCAAAATTACTTCCTAGTCTTCTGGGGCTCCTCATGCTTCTGAACCAGCCATCCTAGGAGGGAATTTAAGCTGTAGTGGAGAAAGTGGCCACTAACAGCAAAGTGGAAGTTGCTGCCCTGCCACAGTGGAGCTGGTTTCTGAAACCAGGAGATCACTTTCCAGGTCACCTCTGTGGGCTCCATGTGTACTCATCATGGAAAGGGAAACTGTAGTCGTCCCACTCGACAAAGCCAAGCAACCGAGTACTCAAGTCCTCAGGGCTAAAGTTTGGTTGTTTTGCTTTTGACATGAGGTCTCATATAGTTCAGGCTAGCCGTGGACTCACTTAGGTAACCCAGGCTGGCCTGGAACTCGAGGCAGTCCTCCTGCCTCACCCTCCCCAGTGCTGGGATTACAGGCCTGTGCCATCATGTTCAGCCTCAGGGGTGAGGCTTGGAGTTTTATACCAAACAAATAAATCAAAGACAGTGGGCAAAATGGCCATGGAAAATCAGCTTTTACGCTGGTCCCAGACTCCACCTGTTTAGGGAGCCCACAGCCTCAGAAATTAGCCGTTGTTTTATGTCTGGCAAAGGAGAAAATTACAGTGAATCTAAGTTTGCAGATTTTTTTTTTTTTTTTTTTTTTGCGGAACCAGGGATTGAACTCAGGCCCCTGCGCTTGCCAGGCAAGTGCTTATTCCACTGAACCATCTCCCCAGCACGTTTGCAGATCTTAATTGGTTTTCTTCGTGGTTCTAGAATTGGACAGCAATCTGCAATGGCTCCTAATGCACCAAGAAGGCTCAGAATGTCCCACTGTACCCTGCAGCACATTACTTCTACATCCTAAGTAAAGAAAGTGACAAGCAGGACCCAAAGGTGTGGCACAGACACAGCCCTGTGTGGACAGTTCACAGCTGTCTTATTTGAACATGGTTAGAACAGAGGCCATTTGTGAGGGCATCCTGGGCCCAGGCTTAATTCCTCTAGTTTGAGAGAAAGACTGAGCAGAATGGTTGGCATCACTGTCACCTTGTCACCACTGTAAATGGACTTATTTAGTCTCAAATGCCACTGGGAAATCACAGAGCACTGGGCTGTGTAAGTTAGGAACAAGAAAAAAGAGTAATAGGCAAGAATAGTCACTGGTTAACAGTAGGTTATTACTCTATGAGTGCTAAGGTCGAGAGGACCTTCTTACTGCCCTCACTCAGACTGGAAACTGCTCTTATTAGGGGAGAAACTGTCCTGTTCAGAATCACCTGCTTCCCAACAGTTCCAGTTTGGGTGTGTGGCACTTAGTATGGGTGACTCCATTTTCATTTGGTCTAATTTATTGGAACCTAACTTACAAACTTAAAATAATAGCATGACTAAAACAATGGTATAGCCTAATTTTAACAATTCCCCATTTTATGAGAAGAGCCCGAACAAGAAGTAGAGCATCAACTGTATGTTCTCAGTGAGGGCCATTCTGGATCTGCTGAGAAGTGACGTTGTCTTCATGGTGATATATTTCTATGAGTTCGGTCATGCTGGCCAAGGAGAGACTGCTTGGGGGGCGGGGTACAGAAAGCTGGGTATAAACTTTTAAAAAGCTTTAGTGAATCTATACATGCAGGAGACTGTTTTAACTACCAGGAGGACAGTACCAAGAGCTGGGAGTGTGTGCCTTAGAAAGGGGCCACATAAACTATGCCAACTATAATCCAGTAGGTCAAAGAATGAGCCAGAGAAAGCATGGACTTGAGACAGTCTGTGGCTCTCCAGGAAGGCAGGGAGCCCCAAGACGTTTGCACTGTTGCTTCTGGGCTCCTCAAGGAGTCTTTGTATCCTCTTTGCATGATTTGAGCTGTTCCAAGGGAATAAAACATGATCACAACTCAAGTTCTGCGTGTTGTAATTGACCTAACTTGCTATTCTGGAACTGAGCTCAGAAGTGCAAAGTGCCACAGCCCATGAGCATGTGTTTATAGCCACACGAAAGTATCACACAGGGACAAGTGGGTAGAGCTCAGCTGGTCACCACTGGCACCCATCTTGCACGGTGGGCAGAACAGGGGCCACTTGTTACAAGAGGTCACCATCACAGCATGCAAAGCTGTGTTCCCTGGGCACGGCAAAGCCTTCAGGCCAAAGCTAAAACAGGTATGAGGGCAGCGTGGGCCATCACTTGAGAGAGAGCTCGGGTCTGCTCCAAGGAGATGGAGGACAAACTTCAGTGCCAAAAAAGGAGTTCCTGGGGTCCCCTAGTCACACTGCCCCATCCAACCTCTCTGTAGAGTCCAGCACTGTCAAGGAGGCTCAGGGTCTCCTGCGATGACCACTTTGGAGCTTCTGATACTGACAGCCAGCGTGGTTCCCATGCACAGTGGCTGGAAAGCTCGCATCCCATGCCTGTGCCCAGTGGGTCACTGCTCATCAGAGGCCACTGAAAGCGATCTGCAATCCTGTCTCTGCCCTTCAGGCGATTGCACAAGGTGTTGAATCGCATCTCTGGACACTGTACCCCATGCCGATACTGCCACAAGTGCCTGCCTCCTCTCACCTTGACCTCTCCCCTCTGCCTGGGTGTGCCTCCAGGTAAGGGTGTGCACATGTCTCTATTTTCTGCTCCCAGTAAAACCTCTGTTAACAGGAGGAGATACTATGAGTTTATAATATTCATAAATGTAAGTAATCTAAAGCCCCTGACTAGGGGAACAAGAAGTATGAGCCATCCAAGCCTATTCCTCATAGCTCATCATTATTCCAAAGGCCGCTGGCTCTTCTGTCTGTATCTTCTTAGAAGTGCACAGACTTGACACTATGGTTCATTCTCACCAAGCAAACGGAGCAGCTAAAGTCATCCTGTGCAGCTTGGTGGGTGCAGACCTTACACACCCAGTTGCCACATGGCCAGGCTGCTGTTCGGTGCTCAGAGCTCTTCTGGATTCTATGCCCCTTTTCCAAGCCCCTTTGACTCCAGTCCTGTCTGCTGCCAAGCAAAGCTGAGCTGCAGGATTGGCTTTACACTCCCTACCTCACCTGAACATATCTAGGGAACTCTGAGATTGTGGGAGGAAACATGTCTAGGCAATCTCAACTGACCCCGTGGGATGAGGCCAGCAAGGCGGGAATTGGCCCGAGGGCCACACAGGGGGCAAAGCATGGCGTTGCCCTGCACTGTCATGCATTTCCCCTGGACATGGCTGAGTTTCGGGTTGCATGCCAGATAGTTCACAGATGTAAGTCTTAACTACAGTTTTCTGCCTTAGGACAGTATTACACTATGCTTCTGTACATTAGTGAACACCTGGCATTACCTCTGTCAGGCTAACACCTGGAGTCATGACTGCTTCCATCTTAATTAAAATATGAATGGACACATCAACCAACATGCATCTATTAAATACTTGTTATAGAGGAGATGCTGTCCTGGATGTAAAACATGAAGAAATGTAAGGCATGATGCTGTCCTCAAAGGTTTTAAAAAACTTTATTGACACTTCTAACCTCACACGTTACAATAAAGCATTGTATTGAAAGAGCTTAAGAGTACCAATTGCCAGTTAGGAGACTGTCATGGCTGATACACTGTCAACTGGAGAAGCTTAGAAGTCTAAGGGACTCAGCAGGGAGCGAGGGCCCTTGCTCTGTAGACACCCTCATCCTGTGCAACAGGAGGGCAGGAAAATGGCATCAGTGCTACTTCTGCCCTTTTGTGCTTGCTGCTTTTGCTGTCCTCCACCACCTTGAACAGTTGCCCCTGCGTCGTGCCCAGCTGGCCTTGGAGTGAGCTGATCTTGGATCGAAACCTCCACGAGCTGTGAGCTAACTCAGCCTCTCCTTCCCTTGTTGTGGGTGTTGGGCATTTTCCCTCAGCAATGACAGAAAGGTAACCAACACAGAATTCGGCAATCATTGCTGTGACTGTGCCTGAGGATATGGCTCAAGAGCCTTTGGGAATGACTTGGAAAGGTTCAGAGATGCTGTCTGAAAGAGTAGAGCTGGAACAGTTCAGGCTGTTCTGTACAGGAGATTCTGGTCAGACTTCAAAGACCAGAAGGCTGATAGAAACCCTGCTGGTAAAGATCAGGCTTGGGAGGTTCCTGCTAGGAAGAATGAGTTCCTGGTGCTGGACTCCAGATGATGTGTTATGGCTTGGCAAAACGTTCGTCAGCACTGTGCTCAAATCCAGAGACTTTGCCTGAGACTGAGATTAAGGCAAAATAAATTTTAAGGCAGTCTAATGGTGAGATGGTGGTATAGCTATTGTTGGGGGTTTTCAGCTTACCTATGTCGAGAATCAAAAACAAAGAACCCACAGGATGATTTAAAATGTGGACCTGTCTAGAAAGGGAGCTCCAGTAAATCAGTGAACTACAAAAACAGAGCTGAGAGCTTGATGCTGGAAGGAACAGGGTAGTACAAAAGATGGTCAGGACATCACAGAAAGCAGTAAGTCTTCACTCTTTGCGGTCTCAAAACTGCAAAAGTGAAGGATTTTGCTTTGAGGAGAAAGCTGCAGAGCACCACCATGCTCGAGTGGTGGCAGCATGGAGAATTTGTTCTAGGCACTCAGCCCCTACAGCTAGGAGCGAGGAACGCCTGGCTACCACTCCAGCTGGCAGCAGGCCTTGGCATCATCCACATGGTGCTGGTTTTAGGTGCATGCAGGATGCAAGAGTTGGGGCTATGGTGGCTTCCACCCTACCTTCAGAAGGCCTGGAAGGCCAGGCAGCGTGCCCTTGAGGGCGGTGTGTGAAGCTATGAGGGTGCAGCACAAGGTGCACGAAGACCCCAGAAGTTTGGAAAAGCCAGGAATGTGGATCATCTAAGGAAACCTGCAAGGAGAGAGCAACACTGGCCTAACAGAGAAGCTGTGGGAGCTGTAAGCACCAGAAGTGCCTAGGGGTGGCGTCACACAAGCCCTCTGGAGCTCACAATTTGCCACAGATTGCTTCAGATGCTGGACATGGCACTATAGGATTTAATGTTTGCCCTGCTGGAGTTTGGACTTGCTTTGGTCCCAATATTTGGGAATCCCTGTTTTTAACTTTTGGAATGAAAAGGTTTATTTTGTGCCACTGAATGGTGGAAGTATTTTATAGAGTCTTGCTGCTACAAGTGTGTCTTGCCGCTAAGTTTGTCTTACATCTCAGGAGATTTGGGACTTGGACTTTTCAGCAAGCTGAAACTGTTAGGACTCGGGCAACTCTTGCAGATGGACTAAGTGCCTTTCACATGAAGGAATGTGCATTTAAGGGACCCAGCACAGACTGATAGGGTTCTAATTTAACATAATGTTGATAGACTTAATATTGGCTAAGGACTGTTAAACCTGTGTTACAATGTTCAAGTTGTAAAATGTTAAGAAAGCACAAGATCCCAAGTTTGATCCCCAGTACCCAAGTGTGTGTGTGTGAGAGACAGTGTACCTTTGTGGTAGATTATAATGGTTGATACATTATGCCAACTTGAGAAGTTTAACTAAGGAACTCAGCAGGGAGCCAAGGTTCTTACTCTGTACAATCCTCATCCTGTGCAAGAGGTCAGGGAGACGGTGTGCGTGCTACACCTGCCTGTGTGTGTGGGGGGGAGGGGTGGGAGGTGCTTACAGTATCAGTGAGGAAAAGAGGCTTGCTCTTCTCCCCTTCGCTCTTGCTGCTTTTGCTATCTTCCACCACCTTGAAATGTTGCTCCTGTGCCGTGCCACCGTGCCTTAGAGCCTGATTATGGACTGACACCTCCACAAACTATGAGCTAAATAAACCTTTCCTTCCTTAATTGTGGGTGTTGTATGTTTCATCTCACCAAGGAACGAAGGGTAACTATGAGACGTAGAAAAGTTTCTAGAAATCACTAACTCTGTTATTTCTGAATGGCTGTTATGGGCCAGGTTAGCATGTGGGGGTGACATCACCCCTCCTGATGGCCTGATGGCAGGTGAGTGGCTGGTGGTGTGGCTCCTCTGGAAGGCGCTGGCCCTCTTGGGTCATGGAGAACATCACATCTCTCATTATATTCAATTCGGCACTGTCCTTCTGGCTGGGGTACACCCACCAGGTGGAGGTGACTCTAAAAGCAGAATGCAAAAGAGATACCAAGATTAAGAGATGTAAGCCAGTTGTTCTAGACCTAGGTTCTTTCACCTGCGACTTTCTCTCCAAAGTACAGGGGGTAGGTTCTAGACGCACCTGCATGGATGAGAACCAAAATGTACTCTGCTAGCAGAACACACTCTCTGGCTTCATTCAAGACAAGGAAAAGGAAGAGAAGGGACTGTCACAAGTCCTGATTAAAGAGGACAGGATAAATGAGGCCTGTTTGCATTTCGGGCTTCTAGGCTATAACACTTCACTTGACAGCAGGGGCTGAGGTCACAATCTCTCATGTCATAGGTGTTTAAGAGTCACCTGGAGTCAGAGATGTGAAACGCTGGCACAGTGTACTTGTGATCATGATTTTCCAAAAACACATTTTTTTTTTGTTTTAAATGTGATTTTTCTCCCTAGCTACAAACAAGGTGTGAATCTTTGTGGAGGTAGGAAAAGGAGTTTTGCAAAGAGTGCAAATGCTTTTAAGGATTAGGGGCTTGAAAAAGAGAAGCCAGCTATTCTGTGGATGAAGGCTGGGTCAGATCCAAGGTAGAGGATCAGTCCGTTTCCAGGTCTGAAGGGGGCTGGGCTCTGCCTGGCTCCCTAGCGGGAGAACTGGGGGAGCTGATGCAATGAGTTACAGAAACCCAGGGGGCACTAAGGCAGGACCTACCATCATATGTGGAGACATATATACTTTTCTAGAAAGGGATCCATAAGTGCTGAGATTTCCTAAAGGTCCAGGGCCCAAAAGAAAGAGAAAATGGGACACAGCTGGACAAGCTCAAGCTCCCGTGTGAGCCAAAGTACAGGGAGCTAGCTCAGGAGCACCGTGTGGACCACACCCCACCCAGACCCACACCCCACCCGGGCCACAGGGCTCTGCTGCCTGCTGGGATTCTCCGCACTTGGAAGTATCGCCTGATTGCTTCCTAGTGGGAGGTAATAGAAGTGAAATTAATTCATCAAGACTTTTTGAGTAAAACACTGGGGGCAGGAGATAGTGGTAGGGTGCTTTCTAGCATGCATGTGGCCTTAGCTTTGATTCCTAGTACCTAAAGTAAAACTCTGAGCTATTTGAAAATTAAAACTGGTGATTCTAATGATTGACTTCTGCTACTCCAGCAGGTAAATTCCTGTGAAGGTCAGGTTCCAAATGCCCAGCTTCCCCTGCAGTGGACAGCGTGTTCAGAACACACCCTTCAGGGGAGGCTGGAGTCCGAAAGTAATTTCCTCTATTTCTGACCACCTCATTTTATAATTTATTAAAATAGTTCCAATAGTTACATAATTTTAATTGTTCTTTCTCTTTCTGAAATAAGGACTGTGAAATAAAATGCCTTTTGAGATCCTGGGCATTTACATGTGCATTTTACAAATCAAGATATTTACTTAATGTTCTGACTGGTGTCAAAGCAAAATATGAGGCTCAGAGAACAGTATGAGAAATTAAATGTAGTGAACAGGATCCTCAGCCAGGAAGCAAGCGTAAGGACTAGGCTTGCCCAGGGAGCTGATTACAGTTACTGCTCTCCATCCTTTTCATGACGTCACTGCACAGGATAGGCAAACATTCCTGGGTCTTCTTGCTGTAAGAAGAGCTGCATGCTGAGTCACTTCTGGGACAAACCGTGGCATCCAACTTGGAAGGCCAGAGAGCTTGTGTTCCAGGTCTGCAACCCTGACTCTCACCTTCATGTCACCAACAGCACGGCAGGCAGCAGAGCGCCCCGGGAAGGGTGCTTGAAAGCTGCTGAGCTGCTTTACACTAAGATTTGGAGAGCTCCTCAGCTCAATGTTAAACTCAAAACAGAAGCACAAAAGAAATCAATGGGAATTGCTGGCCCATGCGTGCTTGTGACGTGTTCTCTTCGGCACACACAGACTCCCTCTGGACGTCTGCATCATGATCTCAGCACTGTATCAAAGCACCAGTGCTACGCGTGGTCTGAGGGCTGCAGTGCCCTGCTGCTAGCCTTGAGCTGTGCTCCTCCCTCACCAGCCCCAGGTGGCTCTGACGCTCCTGCCAGCCTGAGGGCCATGGAGGGCCTAGGGCAGATCCACCGAGACAGATCACTGAGAAGTAAAGTGGGGCCTTTCCCACCGTGCCTTCTGCTTTCTGTCCCCACTGTTCCCACTGGGGCAGGTTTCCTCCCACAACACTGCTTTCCTAGAGGGCTAAGGATAGGACAGGCATCCAAAATGAATGACTACTGTCAGACCTACAGAAGACCTCCCTTTCTATGGATATAAGGTCAAACTAAGGCCATGTTTATGTAACCCAAGGCAGTGGGTAAAATCTGAGAAGGCCAGCGAGGAGGCCCTCACGCTCTCAGTGGCCGAAACACTGGTATCTGGGCCTGGCCGTGCAGCCACGCAGCACAGTAAGGAGATCCTGAAGGAAGGGGGTCAGCTATGTTCTTGGCCGGAGTCCCCCAAGACCGGGCCTGAGTGAGGGCATCAGTTAGCTCAGCCCTGGCAATGAGAATGAAGGAGTCAGGGTTTATAGCAAATCTGAGTTATCATGATATTCAAAACTCTGAAAGACTTACCTGCATTGGAAATGGGTCCAGAAGACTGCAATCATATTTATAAAGTATTAAAATAATACAGATCTGAATCTCTAACAGAGCAAACCACCTAAGGAAAAGCATAAAATGGTAAGCTGTGAAAGTTGCGTAAGTACTGACCACCAGAGAATATCTAGAAAGCATGTATCCATCAAAGCAAATATGCTTTTTAAATAATTAATCTTGTACTATCAAAGGCATAGCGTAAAAATTTACTCTTTGAAATTTATCCTCACCTTTCAGTCAGTGCACCTCCGCAGGGCGCCAAGACCCACCCCCCGCCCCTGTGCGGAGTGGGCGCGCACGCACGTGACACCCAAGCTCCAGCCTTTCTTCCGGCCCTTGTCCCCCCTCCCCCACCTCTCCATCTCTAGACGCCTTCCTATCCAAGTCCTCATAGGCACTGCAAGGAGCACAGGGGAGACGGTAAAGAGCACGCACTGTGGAGCTGGCCAAGGTGGTCCCCAAAGCAGAGGCATGAGCTGATTGACGGTGAGAAAAAGAACCCCGAGAAGCCGTCCTGGCTACCCGGGGCGGAGGGCTGCTTCTCCGTGCTGGGGTAAGAGGGGGACACGCAGCAGGGCGGGCTGGAGGAGCCTACTCATGGCAGTGAACCACACGCGACGCCGCGGGGTTGGGACTCTGAAGGTGCCAGCGCCAGTGACACATGGCGTTGAGCAACTCCACCGTGCGAAAACGAGGCTTCTCTAAGCATTATTACACAGACGAAGCCCTCGATAAAGACTTCTCCACCAGACAAGGAGAGAGAGGGTGCCAAGCACACGACTTGGAAGCATTCTGGAAATACCGTAGATATTCCCGTTCTCAGTGGCCGGGTGGGGGCTGGAGATCTTTGCTAAAGGACAATTTCAGTTTGTAGGGGGAGTAAGTTCAAGGGGTCTGTTCTGCACCAAGACCTTTAACAGCAACGCAGCGTGTGTGTGGGATCTGTTGAGGCACTAGCAGCTCTCACCACCCGCACGGCGAGTGTGCAAGGCAACACACACACGACGCAGCCTGAGGTGGCCCTTCCACGACGTGTGTGTATGTCAAAGCACCCTAAATATATACTGCTCCCACTTGTCAATTAAAATGAACACATTTAAAACTTTCAAGCAGAAAAATATATATCAAGAAAAAAAATCTATAGAATGTAAAAAACAATTAGAAATGTTTACCATTAAAATAGTCTCCTACTACAAATTATAAGGCATTTCCAAGACTGTATAATCTGAAAAAAAAAAAGTTTCCCTTACAAATAAGCTATAATACAGGCTTTTGTCCAAGTGTGTATTTTGAATTAGAGCGCCTTTAATAGTTTTCTTACTTTTTAGTGTTGTTTGGTTATTAATATTAAGCTACTAAAATAGTATTAATATTAACATGACTTTTGGTAGTAATTGTAGCCACTTTGATAGCTTAAGGGAAAAGTGAGCTAAATTAATAATGTGCCATAATAAAGTTATACGCTGAAAATCTTATTTTCTCCAAATCTAACTATTTGCATACTCTAGTAGAATTATCTCAATTATCCGCTGGCACTGGGGGGAGTAAGCATGGCAGAAATAAAAATATAGTGCATTTTAGACTTTTACTGTGACTGAGTTTTGTGTGGGGTCTAAAACACAAGGAGATCTGTGACTTTAAAAGCTCTTTATGTCAAAGAAGGGCTCCACAAATGTGAGCTTTTACGAAGGCTCTCAGGAGCGAGCTGTATTCGTGCTAAAAATGTCGCAACACTTCTAAGGTCACAACAATAAAAACGAGGCATATTATTTATGCCAGATCTGTTTGTTTACACATCTAAGAATGTCACACAGCTATAAATAAAACATTAAAATATAGACATGTTGAACATGGCTCAACTACTTAGTACTTGGGCTATTTGTCCAATGGCTCAAGGGACACTACACAGATATCAAGAACACAAAGCCCTGAATAACGCACTGCTGGGGATGCCCGGGAACCGGAAGTGAGGGTGTACACTGAACACTGACAGGCAGACATAGCCAAGGTGGTGGCCTGGGGGCTGCAGGCCGCGTGGTCTGGCAGGAGTGTGCAGGGACATCGCAGTGGGCCTGGAGGAAGCACAGGCTCTGAGTAAGTGGGCTTGGGAGCGCCAGCGAGACATCATTACTTCAGGAACCTGAACTGCCTGTCGTAAGGGGATAGAGAGACAACGCCAAGGAGAGGGTTGGAGAACAGTAAAAATCACCTGACACGGGTGATGGAGATCTGGTTTCAGGGGCTGGAACAGATAGGGAGAGCCAGGAAGGGACAAAGCGAAGCAGGCTTCCCAGAGCAGGAATAGCCAGAAGAGGAAAGTGGCTATTAAAGACAAACGGGGAAGGGGCTGGTGAGATGGCTCAGTGGTCTAAAGCACCTACTTAGAACAAGCTTAACAAAGCACAAGGACCTGGGTTCAATCCCCCAGCACCACATGCCAGCCAGCCCCGCCCCCTGGTGGGCTGAGCTGGTCACACACAAATAAATAAATACATAAATTTAAAAAAAAGAAAAAGACAAGACAGCCGGGGAAGGCAGGCTGGGGTTGGGAGGAGCTGGGTGGGAGTCGGTGAATGCCCGCCATCCTGGTCTCTTTAGAAGGAAAATCTCATTTGCTCCCAGAAGTCACGGCAGGCAATGGCAGCACAGGCCGGAAAACCGTTGCTGCTGCCAGGAGCAGGCGCTGTGAGGTGTCTGGAGCTGCCACAGCTGCAGCTTATGAAAATAGCACTCTTGCCTGGGGCTGGGCAAGGCGGTGCACAGGCGTCCTTTCCCAGGTCGCGCATGGGAGCCCAGCTATTCGAAGCACTTTTTCTATAACCTCATTTACCTAAGAAATCTTTTAGGAAGATAAAGTCAATTTAGGGGCAGGGTGTAAATAACCCAGGCCCCGGGGCTCCTGAACTTTATTGTGTATTAGAATCTCCTGAAGAGCTTGTGAGAACACAGAGAGCCCGCCCAGGCTCCAACTCAGGTCTGGGAAGGGGTACAGGAATCTCTGCTCCCAGAGGTCTCCAGGGACTGCTATTGCTCTGGTCTGAAGACCACATTTTGAGGCTTGTTAATCTAGAGAAACTTGACAAGCAGAAAGAAAAAAAAAATATATATATATATATATATATACACACACACACATATATGTATATGTATATATATTTGTATTTAGGACAGGGTGTTCAGGAGGAAAAATATTTCAGAAGATGTAATTTACCAAACTTTCTAATTTTAGTATCTGTGATGTTATGAGGAACACGATACTTGGACACTGTGGGTGAGGCCCTGTGCTGCGCTGTGGGCTGGGAACAGCGGCAGCAAGGGCATAACCAGGTAGAGTGGGCAGGGAGATGCTTATGATGGCTGGAGAAAGCGAGAAGGAATACAAGGGGAAGAGAAGAACAGGGTAAGGTGGAAGAGAAGCAGCAGCAGACAGGAAAATGGAGAACAGGAATATTTACAGGTGGAAACAGGTGAGAAAGCAGGTGGGAAGGACAGGAACCCCGCCCCTCTCAGTTGGGGATACCCGATCCGGCGCTGCTGAGGAACTGGGTTCAGGCCAGGGCTGGCCTTGCAGCCAGGGTTGCTCTGAGAGTGCTCCTGCAGCTCCTCGTCCTGGATGGGAGCTACGTGCAGACCTCTGGGTACCGCTCTTCAGGCCTTCATAGTCACGGAGTTTCCAAGGCAACTCTTGTGCCTGGTGCTGAGAAAGGGTCTAGCTGTGCTCCTTTATCTGTGCACGTGGTGACGCAGGCTGCCAAGAGTCACCCTTGGCACCACGAGGCCTCAGCATTCACGTTCTTGTCAGAAATCATGTACCCAGTGTATTTCTGGGCCTTTCTTCCCCTGGTCTGCAGGTCGGCCTTTGCGCCAGCACCACACCACTGTGGAACTTTCCTCCTGTTCCTAGAGTGATGAGTGATTTTACCAGAAAAAGTGTTGACTTTGTGGAATGCTTTTTCTGTGTCTATTGTGATGAACACGTGAGTTTTTCAGCTCCTTTCTGAAAATCTGGGTTAGAAAAGCACGTTTTCCCTAAGTATTAAAAACCACACTTGAATTGCTTCTTTGGATCTTGACAGACTTAAAATTGTGGCTGCGTGTGAAGAGTTCAGAAGAAATGGCAGGGAGACAATGAGTGCGGCTCCGAACCTGCTTCTGCAGAAGCCTGGAAGTTCACGGAGCTTTCTCCGGATCATTTTGTCATCTTTGGCAGTGAGGAAGGGCCCAGTGCAGGGCTCCTCCTGCAGGCCTTCTGGAGTGCCCCATTACTGCAAGAGCTCCAGTGCCTCCAGCCTGACTTCTGGTGGCTGCTGACAGCAGCCACAGTTCCCTGTGCACCCCCGGGAGGGAGTGACCTGCACACCCCGAGGCCCGCCCGCTGGAGAGGTGACAGCTGTGAGCATGATCCCCAGCACATTGTTGGCTGCATCACAGGCAGCTTTTTCTGACTCACTGAGTTTTAGGTACCTGAGAAAGCAAGCCTGGTACTTCAGTTAGGAATGGTGATTCCTTCAATTAGGAGTTTTCTGGTGTTCATCCTATAGATCTGTGGGGTTAAATTTCAAGGGAAAGATCTATTTTGCTATCCATGCTGTCTACAGGAAGATACTTGATTTTCTGAACCATTTTTATTTTATCTCTTTAAAAAATACTCTAAAAATTGACAGTTTAAAATGCAAGCCCAGAAACTAACAGAAAGCTAGACACAGAAGTTTTCAGCAGGTTAGTTATCCTTAAGTTAGAGGATAACTGCTGATAGATTTTTGCTACAAAGTGCTAGTGGCAAAACTGTGGCACAGATGCTATTGTGCTTTTCTTTTGAAATGAAGGATGTTAATGTAGAATTGTTTTTCTACACTAAAAAGTATTTAAGTTTAATTGCAGTATTGGCACTTCGCAGTAAATCAGCAGGTTTGGGTTGCAGGTCGCATTCAGGCTCTGAGAGATTCAGCAGGACTGTTAGATGGTATCTGTTTTGCTGTACCTCAGACTGTTTCCCGAAGAAGGCTTCATACCTTGCCTCCAAGCTGTTTCTAATCTATTCATTCCTGCAGTCCCTTCCAGCCCTTTCTAGAGCTGGAAGCCACAGCCCCCCCAACCTCCCTTGCTCGAGGCCCACAGCTGATTGCCTTCTGAGCCTGCAGACATAGCCACACCACGTCTCCTGCACGGAACAGTGACGTAACCCTGCAGCTGAAGTCCAGCCCCACGTGGGTCCACTGTGCCCTGAACCACCGGGGCCTTCACCAGCGCTGTGCGAGCTGCATGCAAACTCTGACTGCAGGAGCTACGAGGACTCCCACCTGGGCCCGCACCGGCTTCCAGTCTCACTCCTCATCACCCTGTCATCAGCCCAGTCACACCACACGTGCCTCAGTCACACGTCTCAGTGCTTCAGATCCCCTGGGCATTCAGTCTCCTCCGCTTACAAGGCCCTGATCCTCAAAGGCTGAGCTGTCTGAGGTCATTCTGACCTGATGCTCCTGTCTGCACTTGGCAGTGAGGTGCTCGGGGCACCTCCCATCCCATCCCACACTGCAGATGGGTCCCGATGGATCACATGGTCACAGCGCGTTTCACCGACACCGTCTTGGCAGACGAAGCTCAGGATATTCTGAAGATGCACAGTTTATGCATAAGTAGGATACTACTGAAGGAGTCGCGACACTGTGGCCCCCTGTACTGTACGCACTTCTTTGAAATTCAAGCAAGTATCTTTCAGCCTCAACCTGTGGCAGAAGGTGGTAACAGCTATTCCTGGGTACAGCAGTCATCAGGCAGACTGACTGCTTGCACGAGGTGGATGTGCTACTGAAAACCACTTAGTCTGTGGTGGAAGGCACTGCAAGCCCAGGGCCGAAGGTGGCTGTATTAAACTCTTTAGTTGCTATCAGACATTTATGTCAAGGACTCTGAAAAACATATTTTGAGTTTTTGGAGGAGCTACTCTTAAGACATTGATATGAAGTAGAGGACAACAATACATTTGTCATGGGGTTAGGAGCTGATCTTCTGTAGCAGAAGTAACAGAGGCAGGTGAACGTGATGGTGGCTGTTGGTTAAACTTAAGCCCCCAAAGCATCACGTTCATCACACTGTTTAACTTTTGGAGCTCACTGGTGGGTATGTTAGTGTGTTTACATCCTTGCCTACATTACAAGATAAGAACGTTCTTGATCTAATATAACATGATGATCTCAGGGACCCAGGTTTTCTCTACCTCCACTAAGCTGTCCACAGACTGCCCCAGCACAAGGCCTGATCCTTTGTCTCCATCCAAGCACTAACCGGGTCTCACCAATTAGCTTCCAAGATCCGGGTGATATGGCTGTAGACAAGGCCTGACCCTTTGTAAACGCCTGGGGCTGCCTGCTTGTTCCTTCACTTCTCTGGCAGTGAGTAAAGGGGCCTCTTTGCTAATTATGGAAGAAAAGTCTCTCCTTACAGCATGACTGGCCAGGTTAGGTCAATGAACTAAAATGATAGGACAAATAGTTACCGAGGAAACCCCAGGCACCAATTTGCTTAGGCTCAGGTTTGTAGAATTGTTTCTAAAAAGGAGGTTCAAATTTTCATGGATGAGACTAATAAAAAACATTTGGGGAGACACGGCCATTACTACAAGCTTATAGAGGAGGAACAGAGCCGTGTTTGTAGAGGTCATGCATATGGGCAGGGATTATCGTACTGTTCAAACTATACACATAGTTGAATTTTCAAATCAAGAAAGTACAATTTTGGAGCTTCAACACTGAATGGACTTGTGCATTTACATTACAGAATGAGAAGCTTTAAAGAAGCAAGCCCTGCAGAGCTGGGGGCAGTGGCCTTCCTCTGTGCACGATGCAGAGCCCAGCAGGGCCGTGTTCAAATCTGCTTTCCTTCTTGGGTAAGCAGTATAAGCACAACCTGCCTGAATGAGGACCATTTGCACAGAACAGCAAATCACACTGGAGGGGAGTCCTCAGGGCCAGGTGAGCTACGAGGTGGCCAGGAAGAGGTTTGCCAAAGCAAGTGAACCCTGTAAAGAAAATCTAACGTGGTGCTGCTCTCCATGCAATTGATGTCTGCTGACTCCAGCCAGCGTCTACCCCAGACATTCTATGCAGTGGAGGGAACATGTATCTGTGCGTAGAGACGTAGCACTCACCTCGCTGAATAGAGCTGATCCACGAGCCCCATTCCCCGGCACCTAGCAGCGTCATTTACTCCATCCGCACCTGCCACAGGCACGCCACACAGATGTCCCCTAGCATCCCGGCAGGCCAGCCGAGTTAGCCCTGCCCTCCTGCTCTCCCTGGAGTCTCTGACCACTCAGCCTCTGTGCCTCACTGACCTTCCAGGACACTGGAACTTCCCGCCTCCAAATGCCATGTAGTGCTCCAAGAACGCGTGCTTCTCTAAATCTGCCTCTTTCCAACGTTCCTGTGGGAAGAAAACATTTTTCCCCAATCAGTTTTATATAAATAAGCTTTGCTTTATTTCTCTAAGCTAAAAATGACCTTGTACAGCTAATCTTTGTATAGGAGTCTCAGGGTTGTTGGTAATTTTTTCCAATGTGTTATTAATACCAGATACAACTGTTTTTCGGAATGTGAACTTATAAATGAAAAGGTTTGAAAAGAGTTCTATTATGTGGTAAATGTAAATGATATTTTATATCAGCCACAGAATGGACCTAAGCAGTGGAATGATATGCATAACAAGATCTCAGGCTCCATCATGAAATTGCTCTTGGTAATAAATTTAATAATGAGATGCCAGCAGCTACCCTGTGGGCCGGCTTGGTATGCAGAGTGGACATCCATGGCTCTGCTGCATGTTACACCTAAGCGCAGAACATGAACTCAATGTGTGCCTGTGGGCTCTCTGTCCAGCCTTGTAACTCTCAGACCCTAAGAAATGACACATGAGTGTTTTCGTTGGCGTTAGCTTTACTTTGTGTATTCCTTGGAAACCAGTAACAGAAACAGTTGCTTCCAGGATATCAAACAAGTCTTCCTTTAGAGCCAGGTGTACTTACTGAATACGCCTTCCTGGTTCTAGATAACAAATATTTCAACGTAGTGGATGTTTATTCCAGAATATTTTCTATCTGATCTGAGAGTGCTGTGCCTTCTACATCACCAGTCTCATTCCTTTATGGTTAACTTTTTTCATGGTTACCAGATAAATATCAAGTAGTATTAGTTCCGGGTGTTTTTTGTTTGTTTGTTTATGTTGGTATTGGGAATTGAACTCAGGACTCTGCACTTGCCAGGCAGGCACTGTGCCACTGAGCTACATCCCCAGCCCCCAGTATGAATTCATATTCTTGGTTTTAAAAAAAAAAAAAGAAGTTCAAGCTAAGAGGTAATGTATACAGAAGCACACAACTTACAGGCTTGAATGACTCAGGATCAGGGAAGTACTGTGGGTTTCTATGCAACCAAAATGGAGACAGCATCAACAAGTCGCCAGATGGAACTGTGTAATTCTAGGGGAGAAGAATCAGCCTGAAAATCTGTTTTGAAAAGTGTTTAGGTCATTAAAAATAATGCTGCAGCTATATTATGGCAAAGACATAAACACTGTAAAGCTGACTGTGAGAAACATCTAATCTTCCTGGACCAGTCGTCTCTGTTATTCAGTTTATGCAATGACTGATTTCAGGTTCTGACTATTTGCCACATGTTCAGATATACTTGGTACCACAGACGAGTACTAGCTCAAAGCCAAAGTTTTATAAACTGGTTAGGTAGAGTCCAGTGCAGCTTCCGGTGCTTGAGGCTGGCCTCTGCAGCCAGTGTCCTCCATGGAAACCACAATGGGTCTCTATGTTGTGGGACAAAACATCAGACTTGGAGACGAGGGCAGCACACAGCGAGAGAAGCACTGAAGACAGGGGCAGAGGGCTCCTGTCCCTGGGTACACCGATGAGCGTGGCAGGGAAGGGCGGGTTTGTTTGTTGCGGGTTGCAGAGCGTGCAGGACGGAGGGTAAGTAGTGCCTCCTCCAGCAGCAGAGTGAGCACCACCCTCCCGCCCAAGGACCAGTGGCTTTCATGATCCGTGCAACCTACACCTAGGACTAAAGGACTCACCACGTTGCTTTCATCCTCATATCCAGGAACCACAGAACAAGATCTCAAGTCTGTGATCCCCACGGAGCCACCAGCCTACCTGAAGTAAACTTATTTTGAGGTCCCTCTCTTGCTAGTCATCATAAGCCACATCCATTTAACTCTATGATTTGGGGATGTGCTCATGATAGTTGCAAAATATTTCAAATTTATATATGCAAAAAGGTATACCTTACAACTAAAAATAGGCCTTTGACAGACAGGAAAGTATGGAGGATTGGCAGGGTCATCAGTGTTTAACCCACAAGAATGCCTGCTGGCTGGTGGGAGTGTCTCAGTGCTTGAGGCTGGCCGGTTTAGGGCCAGCAGTGCTGGAAAGCCCGACCTCATGCTGGGAGCCTCTTGCTGCTGCCCTCTGCCTATTTTCAAAAGGGGAGCTGTGTGAGATCCCCATCCTAACTTTTCCTTGCCCCTGCCATGACTGAGGCTGGAGGAGTCACGGCTGACATTAGGAGCCACAGAGGTCCCCAATGTGTGGTGGGCGAGCTGGGGTGGCCCTGGGACAGGCCTCTAAGAGGTACAATCCTGTTTTTAGGTGCTATCAACCTGTGATCATAGGCTGCACACTGCTGACCGCTGCAGCCTACAGATCAGGCTAGCAGAGGACAGGAGGCTTCAAACAGGTCCTTAGATAGAGTTCACAGTAGCAAGAGGGAGGAGGCAAGCAAGAAGCTCCTGTCTGCAGCACCAAGTGCCAGGCTGACAAAGGGCAGAGATGCCTGCTCTGACTATCAGAAAAACACTCAGGGCAGGAAGACATCACTACACCCAGGCTATGGGGCCGCCATCTTGGCTTCTGTAACAACTGAAGAGAAAGCTCAAGAAGAACAGAACCTATAGAGATGGGTCCCTCCAGGACAGGGAAGCAAAGTCAGGACTACCTGCTGCCACTCACAGAAGGGCAACATAAGCCTCGTGGGTGCCAGAAATGAGGAGTCTTGAGAAAGGGGAAGCCCTACAAAGGCAAAGGCAGAAGTTGGGAAGGACGGACAGAAAGGAATCTGAATGTTCAAGGAGAAACGGATGGTAAAAGGATAAAACATTTCTTAAAGAGATTGCCATGATATATAACTCAGACAAAAGCAGTGTTAAAAACAATAACTACAGTCCACTGCCTCTCACGGACCTAGAGGAGAGTTTCTGAACAAAACGTCAGAACAAATCCAACAACTCAGAAAACAATTATACTCCATGATCAAGTATGACTGACTCCAGGTATAAAAGGCTGAGTCCATGCTGAAATATCAGTAAATGTAATCTACCACATCAATAAGCTAAAGGAGGGAAAGCACACGATTGCAGCAGCCAATGCAGAAAAGCACTGGAGACAACCCAACACCTACTCAGGATAAAATTCTCAGCAAACTAGAAATAAAGCAAAGTGTTTTTAATTTAATAAAGAATGTCAACAAAAATTCTGTATACCCAGGATCATACTTAATGGTAAAAACTAAAATGCTTTTTCCTTAAGTTCAGAGACAAAGCATTATCTTGTTAAAACTAGTAGTCACCATGGACCCGGAAGTCCAGGCCACCGATGTAATGCAGTAAGAAAAGGCAGTAAAAGCCACACAGATCACAAAGGAAAACAGAAAAATACCATCTGCGTCAAAAATCCCAACAAATCTCTGTAGTGTTACAGACTAGTAAATTCAGCAAAGCTGCAGACACATGATAAACTCACAAAATCACTTTTCTTTCTTTTTTGTGTTTAGTACAGGGTCTGTAGGGTCTACAGGGTCTCACTACGTAGATCGGACTCGTAATGATTCTCCTGTTTTTCAGCCTGCCAAGTGCTGGGATTACCAGCGTGCACCGCCACACCCAGTCTCAATTGCTGTCTCAGTGCACCCCAGGGTGGGGCCAGCACGGCATGCGGGGGATCCAACCCCAGCCAGTGCGCTCTGCCTAAGTAGGCGCTTTAGTCTGCGGAGCTATCTGCCTGGCCCATCACTTGTATTTCTATAAACATGTGATATACAACTGAAAACCAAAATTTTAAAAAAATACCATGTACAGAAGTTCCAAAATGAATGAACTATTTAGACATAAACCTAAAGAAACAACTATAGGATCTGTATGCTTACAACAACAGTGTTTGCTGTTTGGTACACAGACTGTAATTCAGTTCATTACCTACTAACCATATTCAAGTGCAGCTTAATAAAAGTTCAATTCAAAGTTATAGTAACAATCAAGGTAATTAAAGTATTGCTCTACTTAACCACCAAGTAGATGATTATGTGTTTTAATAATCATAATTTGAAGTAATTAATTGGACTAATTTGAAGCAAATCCTGCCAATATATCACTAAAACCAAATGCTGTAATTTATGGAGGATCTGTTAAACAAACTTTATCCTCACTGGAAGCAGAAGTATCTTTCGGACAAAATTGGAATTTTTATTTCTTGTGTATTCTACTGTAAAATCTTCTTGGTTTCAATCCAAGCACTCAAACTGTGTATAAAAAGGGAAACATAGGTGGAAAAGTAAATGTAATCTTTCTGGACAATGCAGCACTAAATCACCCCATCCTAAAAAAAAAAAAGTCGCACCACCTGCTGTTTGCACAGACGTCGACCCGACACTGCAGTGCACACAGACCCTGTCCTGCTGCGCCCGAGAACTGTCTCCACTATTCCAGAAAGGCCCTCTCTTCTGCACTCCACCACTGAATCCAGTATCACGTGAGCTCATCCGTGCATTTCTGCTACCTGTTCTCACGTCTGTGACTCCTGGCCTGACACTGTCTTCCAGTTACCCAGAAGAACTTCCTTCACATCCTGGACTCCTGAGGCCACTGCTGCTCAGGAAGTTTTGTGGGCTGAATCAGGAGAGGCAAGACCATCCAGTCCACTATTTCTGACGCAGGATCACATGGATCGAGAGTCTGGTATGTGCCCTGCTCAGGGAAAATATTTTCATGGGATTCCAGGAATGACTAAAGGAGGGGCACAGTTTACCTAAAACATTTGCCAACAGATAAGTTTCTCTATTAATGAAATGGAGCTTCACACTTACTGTTAGCTGTCCAAGGTCACTTAATACATAATGGAATTATATAATCATGTGCGCTTTCCAAATTCTAATGACACTTTTAATTTATTTAGAAAAGAAATCCTAACATTCATGTGGAAACATAAAAGGCCCTGAACAGGCAAAGCAAACCTGACCAAAATGAACAAAGTGGGAGGCATCATATTACCTGACTTCAAAATATATCATAAAACTACAGTAACCAAAACATTATGGCACTAGCATAAGAAGACACATATACCAATGGAACTGAACAAAGAGCCCAGAAATAAATCTATACTCTGGCAAAGGTGCCCAAAACACCCAGTGGGTGAAGAATAGTTCCTTAAATACATGGAGCTGGAAAAAATGGATGCCCACGTGCAGGAAAAAGAAGTGGAATACTTCTATATGCCATATAAAAGAACCCAACATGGATTAAACATAAGTCCTGAAAGTGTAATACCACTAGAATAAAACACAGAGAGAAAGCTTCTTAATGCTACTCTGGACAATGAGATTTTAGATATGAACAAGAAAATGCAAGGTAACAAGAACAAAAATGGGATGATATGAAACTCAATGCTTCTACACAGCTGAGGAAATATCCAACAGAATGAAAACAAGCTATGGAAGGTAGAATCATTTGTAGACCTTGTATGTAATAAGGGGCAATATTACAAATCTAAGAACTCAATAATAGAAAAACAAATAATTAAAAATAGGCAAAGGATCTAAAAGACATTTTCCAAAAGAAGTCATATAAATGGTCACCAGGTAATGAAAACAGCTCACCACCACTAACCATCAGGGAAATGCAAATCAGAACTACAATGCGAATGCGTCACACTTGCCAGGGATTCTGGTTTGTTTTTTTTTTTTTTTTCATTTGTGTATTTGGTACCGGGTCTCACTATGCAGATTGGACTCATGGTGATTCTCCTGTTTTCAGCTTCCCCAGAGCTGGGATTACAGGCGTGCACCACCATGCCCAGACTCTGTTGCCAGCCCAGCTTGCCCTGGAGACAGGGCCAGCATGGCATGCAGGACCAGAGATTGAATCTGGTCCCTCTGCTTGCCAAAGAAGGCGCTTTGTCCACTGAGCCATGGATTTCTGTTGTTTAAAAAAAAAAAGAAAAAAAGAAAAAGGGTTAGAGAAGGTTTGGAGGAAGAGAATTCTGCCTGGCACGTTACTGGCTTGGAATGTAAATTATATAGTCATAATGGAACATTCCATGGAAATTCCTCAAAGAGTTAATGAAACTACTATATAGTCCAGCTATCCCACTAATAAGCACGTATTCAAAGGATGTGGAATTTCTATGTAAAAAAAACCCAACCAACCTTAAAAAAAAAAGGCCAGTGGTATAGCTAAGTGGACTAAGTGCTTGCTTAGGTAAGTGCAGCGGCCAGGGTTCAATCCCTGGCACTGTATACCAGGCTGGCTCCACCCCTGGGCACACTGAGCCAGCAATGGAGTCTGGGCATGGTGGTACATGCCTGTCATCCCAGCACTAGGGAGTCAGAAAACAGGAGGATCACTATGAGTCCGATCTGCATAGTGAGACCCTGCACCAAAACACACACACACACACACACACACACACACACTCACCACACACACACACTCTTTAGCCTTTAACCAAATGGCAGAGCTCAATGATCAGAAAAGTTTGCAGTTCTACCATAAAGGATGTCCCTGCAAGGTAGGGCAAAGGACAGCACAGCTTCTGGAAAGATTAGAATTAAAAAGTAGCCAAGAATTTGTATAGGAACAAAACAAAGATGCCTTCAGGGGATCCCACAAACCAGTGAGAACCCACTCACTGCAGGGTTAAAGGCACAAAACTGTAAATCTTTTACATTCAGCCCCCAATTTAGAAGCATTCTAGTTGTGAATTTTCAGATACAGATGGATCTCACCCTGCAAACATTCTTAGATACAAATCAATCACGGAAGTACGTCACGTGTCTGCTGGACATTGTTACAGTTCTGCTGCTGTGTGCTTACTATATAGTGTGACAGTGGACAGTGTTATGGTGCTAAATCAGCATCCAGGATGTCCGAAAGCAAAAAGCAAAGCAGTGGTGATATGAAAGGGACTGCTAGGGACAGCAAAGCAACATACATTGTACGTTTGTGTCAAGGGTGTATAGGATTCATTTCATCGTACTTACAAATGAATCCAACTTATGAATGAGTCCAACTCACGAATGTTCTCCCAGCACAGAACCTGTCTGTAAGTCAGTCCATAGCGCGTCAGAAGTCAGGCTTGGGATGCTTGGTCACTCAAGGGCACCTAGGGAAGTTCACCCTGAGTTCAGCCTCCTAGGCAGTCAGAGGCTCCTGCAGCCGTGGTCCAAGCACCAACTCTTGGGCTGCCAGCAGATCTCAGCATATGCCTGTGGTGCTGGCACCTCCGGCATGCAAAAAGCAAGAATTATGGTGTCATGGAGGCTTCCATCAGACTTGAAAAGACTATCTGGAGAGCAGGGAAAACGTGTGATGGGCTCATGGCTCCTGCAGTACCAAGAGGGTTCGCACAAAGCTGTGAGAGTGAAGCCAAAAGGAAAATGGAGACCGAGGAAAGGTGCAGGCAGGATCAGAGCCACCCCAGGGAGAAGGCAGGCAGGCGACACTGTAGGACAGGGCTGTCCGAGCACCCGAAGCTCACACCCTAACGCACCCTGCCCTGGGTGCTGGACACTGAACCACGGGGCTAACTGTGGCTCTGCTGGATTCTGGTCTTGCCTTAGTCCTATTTTGTCTATTCCCCCAATCCTTCCTGTTCCACTGTTAGAAGTATTCAGCTGTCTCTCTTTTTTATTTTTATGGGGGCTCTTAACTGAGTTTGTGTCTCTCTTACAGGAGACTTTGAAGTTGGACTTTTCAGCAGTGCTGGAACTATTTAGACACTGGCAGCTCTTAGAGTTGCAGTGCATTTTGTATAACGAGACGGACATGAACTTTGCAGGGGCCAAGTGTGGAATGCTAGGATTTGATTTAAAAAATGTCTCCCCAAAGTCCTTCATTTGGAGATGTGGCCTAGTCAGGAGCAGGTCACCAGAGGCTCAGCCTGCAAGCGATGCTCTTTCCCTGAGGCCTCCTCTCCTTGGCTTTGCGGTTACCTCACAGTGAACAGCTTTCTTCTGCCATGGCTTCAGCCTTGGAGCCAGCCAATCCTGGATGAAGCTGAAATTTCCACTGCGACTGGTGAGTAAAAGAAACCCCTCCTCCTTTAAGTTGTGCTCCAGCCTAACAATGGAAAATGACTAACACAGCCATCTCCCTTGCCTCTGTAAACTGACAAGGGGACGGAACTCAGAGGAGAAAATACAGGGGCTGGGAGAGGGGTCGTTTAGGGAGATGGCTGTCGAAGGACACAAAATTTCAGTTACCTACTAGAATTTAAATTCAAGAAATCCATCGTACGACCCAGTGACGATGGATGGTAACAATGCACAGTAATACCTCAGTTCACGGACGCTTCTGTTTCCAAACAACGCAGTTGCCAAACAGAAGTGTTCAGCAGAATTATACCTCGCTTTGTGAACTCTGCATCTGGTGTCCAGCACAACCGTCTTCCCTGTGTGAACGTGAACTCGGCCATCTTCTGCAGAATCGTGGAAGGAATTAAGGGTCTGAACCAACATACTACTGTACTGCTGTCTTGAACATGGCTAACAGAGATTCAATAAATGTTCTAACCTTAAATATGAGAACACAGATGACAATTAGCTTGCTTCAGCCATTCCACAAGGTATGTATATCTCACAACATGTCCTGTAGGATAAATACAGTGAGTGGTACCTTGGTTCAGAACTTAATTTGTTCCACGACTCTGGAAAAGATGGTCATGGCTGTGTGCAGGTGGGAAAGAGGGCTGAGGCTGTATTCATAATTCTGCCAAATGCTTCTGTTCATGAACCGGTTGTTCACAAACAAGAGTTCATGAACTGCGGTTCCATTGTATATGCAATTTTTATTTAGTTAACTACAAGGAGAAATTTCATAAGTCATATGTCAATCTAAAAAATAAAATAAATGAGCAAATCTGTGTATTTTTTTCTAGAAGGATGATTATTTCAAAACAAAAGCAAAGCTTACCAAAATTTTCACCGGCTTCACTACTTTCCTAGTTATGACACCTGGGGCTCTTAAACGAATGGCTTCCAAAATACACCATTTAATTAGTGAGAGTTTCTTCAAGGTATCCTGTGTCACTCTGATCTTCTCTTTACCTGTCAAGAGGGAGGGAAGGGTGGACTAAGAGGCCGGAAGGTGACGCCCCATGGTCCCAGGTGCACATCACCAAGGCCCAGTACTGCGGCTGGCTGCTGAGAAGCTGCTGCTCGTGGCTTTCCCTGTCTGCCTTCTTCTGTGACACGACACATGCCCCTCTGACCTCGGCTCTAACAGACCCCCGGCCATCACACGAGGAAAGCTCCTGTCAAGAAGCGCTGTTTCCTCCTCTCACCCTTGTTGTCTGGGTTCTCCTTCCACGAAAGGACAAAGCAGTGTAAGAGGGGGAGACTGGCCCTGAAAGCACGAAGTGGTAGCCGTGAGACGCCATCCCAGCTCTTCCTCCGTGTTCTCCCTGGCAGCTCATTTTTCTTCTTAAATTATTCATTCCAAAAGCCTGAAAGGACGATTCAGATAGGGACAGCAGGGGACAGGGACTGCCACTGGAATAACGTGTGTCCCTCCTTGAGAGGTGTGTGGTACTTCCCTAAGGTGACATGCACACCTCTATATTCAACCTGAAGGTACCTGAAAGGGAACGCAGGTCAGTCTCGTGCTGCCCAGAGCCTTGAGGTAACAGTCACCATACATACCATTTGTCTTTATATCTGTGGGGTCTGATCTCCAAACAGTTGCTAGGAACCAAAAAACATTATTGTCAATTGAAAACCATCTTGATTACCAAGAAATGGCAGTGGAACTATAACTTTTACTTTACGCTTTTCCTGAACTATTCACATATTGCCTAAGCTAGTTCAGAAAAAATAATTTAGAGAAGCCATGGCTGGAAATAGAAAATGCATATTTAAAGTGACTGAGCCGTTTGCACAGGGAGCAGAGAGTGCTCGCTGCTCAGGCCTAGAGCCGGGCAGCTGGTGCTCAGCACTGCGGGAGGCGCAGCACTCAGCTGTCAGGAGCCCGGTGCCTTCACACGTGACAGACTCGGACTACAGCAAGGATAAGTATGCTTTTACGAGTGAGCGATGCGGAGGCTGTCATTTGTAGATGCAGGGGTGACAAGCACGCTTTAGTACTCCTCGGCACGAAGTCAAAGCTCACACACGGAAGTGTTCGTCACTGCTGTACCATCACCAAATGAATGCAGTGAGGCCACAGAAACCGTATCTTCCTGATAGTAACTCCGTAGATCATAGTTCGTTTTTCCTCCAAAACAGCCCAGCCTCTGTCCTTGGATCCTCCCTCTCACAATCCTTCTCCATCTTCTCTTCCTGTACTACTGGGGACTGAATCCAGGACCTCAGGCATGCTAGGGAAGTGCTCTCCCAAGCTACGCCCCCAGCCGTTCCTGAAACCCTCACAAGGAAGGGCTGTGTCCCACACTAACTAGAGACCCTGTCTGAGGAACTGTTCCACACACTCTGCTGCAGTGCAGGTGTGGCCCATGTGCTTAACTGAAAGGTGAGGTGACTCTGGGTGACGGGATTGGATCATGTCCTCTCTCCCAGATGGAGTGGGCTAGCAACTTAAGAGAAGAGCTGCTGTAGAGCGCGGCACCCCATGTGACTGGTCTCTTTTGCACTGTTTTTCACTTCCCCGCCACATCACAATCTCACCAGGGGACTCTGGCCAGGTGTACTCTGCTATCTGACCCCCTCATTGCCAATGAGGCCTCTTCTCCTTTGGACTTCCCCAGCCTCGGGCATCCTGCTGCAGTGACACGGGGCCAGCAGGAGGTGTGCAGCCGCTGGAGAGGGATGGGTGGCCCTGGGCAGTACCGTGGGATAGAGTCCTTAGCCTGGGGATCTAATTCTAGGGAGCTGGTGTTGGGACTGGGGTATGTTCTTGGATGCCCTGGTGGATCTGACGGGACCTATAGGACTGTGTGGTATGAAAGCCAATGCCACGCAGCATAAACAGAACATGTTCACTTTGGTGAGTACAGTCCACCTCTCCCTCCAACCTCAGCCCACGCTCAATCATGGAGACAGGGTGACCTGTAAGCTTCCCAGTCTCCCCACCTCATGCAGTCATCTCCCCTAAAATGGGATACTAAATGTGTCTGCCCTGTAAGGTTGTGGTCAGGATTAATAAAGCAAAGGTACCCACATGCTCACAATAACTGGCAAGTGGCAGAAACTCAGCAGATGTAACCCATCACGTCAGTCATTCCTCTGCCTTTCCCAAGGTTTTGAAAAGCTGAGTAACACCTCTCTTCCTTGGCCACCTTGGCCAGCATCTCCCTGATCACTGTCAGGGCACTTTATCTCCTCGTGCTTATTATTATTATATTAATTTCTTTGGCTTACTGCTTATTACCCTCCACCTGGGCTCCCCAAACAAGGCTGAGTGCATTCATGAGGCTCAGAATTGCATTTCTTTCAGCATTTGATGCACACCCAGTACTGAGTTCAGTACGTGGGGGAGGACGCGCCATACATTTTTATTAAATGGATAAAACCACTGCTGTGGTTTGTGTCTAGGTTGTCCCCCCAAAGCCTCATGTAGTCACAGGGCAGGGACTTCTAGCGTTTGAGATTAACTCATGATCCACTGAGATTATGGGTCTTAGTACTGCTGAGATTATGGGTGTGAGTGCTACTCCCAGCCCAGGGCAGATGGCCTGAATGTGACATAAGTAAGACAGAGACTCCCTCTGTTGCCATTGTTGCTGCTACTCTCCTTGGCTCTTTGTTTTACCGTCTGCTGCCACCACAAATGGCTGCTCTCTGCCATGTGCCACCCTGCCTTGGAGCCAGCTGAGCACAGACTAAAGCCTCCATTAACTGTGAGCTAAATAAACCTTTCATTCCCTCATTTCAGGTGTCAGGCATTTGTCCCAGAAACAAGGGAAGAGTAACTGAGACAATGACTGAATGGAAGAATGTCTAAGATGCCCAAGTGAAGGAAGACCAATGAAAACATCTGTAGAAGAGATATAAGGAGGTCAAATCATTAAGAGATTTCTGAAGGAGAATGAGAGTTGTTCATTTTCTGTCATACTGGGGATTCAATGTGGGGCCTCCGCACTAAGGTACATCCCCAGCGGCCACTGAAGCTTGGGATCCTCCTGCATCAGCCTCTGAGTGCTGGGATTATAGGTGTGTGAACATACTTGGCTCAACATTTTTAAGTAAAAAACATGGTTAGTAAGAAGGTGGTAAATAGCAGGTCAGTGCCTCTGCAGCACTAGGCCTGCGTGGTCGGAAGTCCCTGTGACACCGATCCTGCAGGTCTAAGAAGCACACTGCAAGGAATAACGCAGTGCTAGAGTGAAAGAAGTAGAAGACATCCCTGTCTGTATTTATCAGATGTTCTAGGCTTGACACAGTCTGTTGGGAGCCACGGAATCTAGAAAATTGGTCAGATGTGTGTAGGTGGGACTAGGCCTCAGTGCTTAAAGCAAACAAGCTACCTCGGTCCTCAGATAAGCATCCTGACAGGTTAATGTCGGCTACTAATCACTAGGCAACCTCATGTCACGTGTTACTAACTTTGCAAAGGTATAAATGAACATCCACATTGTTGCTGGGGTGGGGGGGTCATCTCGCCAACCAGGCGGACAGGTTACCACCTAACCCAGCTCTTGTCTTCTTACCTATCTTTTCCTCATTCCTGTTGCCATTTCTCCCTAGGTAGAACAGATCACACTGAGACCAATGGATCCCTACAGCAGTTCTTAGTAGCAGCTTCAAAATTATTTTCTAAAAAGTAGAGGTAAACATATTCAGTGGGTAAAAATTACGGTTTCAATCAGAAACCCTGAGTGTATGTATTGATCCTGAAAACCACTAGCTTTTATCAGCATGAACATGCAAGGGCTTTCATCTCTTATTAAGTACCACAGAATTAGAAAATGTGATGATCAACTCTGATGGAATGGGGGGTCAGCCAGAGCTTCAGTAATGGGGCAAAATGCCATCATTCTCACGGCTGCAGAGGTGCCGTTTTCACCAGAGCAGGCATGCCAAAGTGCCTCCCGGGGCACCGCCCGTGTGTCTGCAGACTCCTGTGCATTCTGGCCCTGTTCTTCCCTATGTGAGACCACGGCCAAGGGTGGCGGCAAGGATGGCCGGCAGAGCCGTTTCACCACACTCTTTCTGTAAATATCTGTTTGCCGATAGAAACAGCAACGCCCACTCATCTGTATGTGGCCTATGGCTGTGTCTACGCTACATGAGCAGTATTAAGAAGCTCTAAGAGACCTCATATTCCAGAAAGCCTAAAATATTGTCTGTCTGGTTTTAGGCACAAAAAGCTTGCCCCACCTTACGGGACAAGGGAACAAGTCACTGTTTGGCTCTTTGTGGTGCCATCTACTACCCAACATCCAGGTTGAATCTCAGCGTGTGAACTTCACAGCACTCCAAAGCTCACGTGGGCTTCACTGCTCTTTCCATTTCTATAACCAAGTCAACAACGTAATGTTGTGCATGGCATCTGAGTACCATGGCTATTTTACCAGGAAAATACAGACCACTTCTCAGGGGAAGCAGCAGCGTTGTTTGGGACACATGACTGAATGGAATTCAAATTATGTTCCTGTCCCAAGAGGGCACATGGGAAAAAAATGTTAAGAACATCCATTCCTAGGTATGCAACTTCTGTATTTACTCTTTTCTAAAATGGACCTATGCTTTTTCTTTTCTTTTTTTGTTTCTTTCTTTTTTGAGACAGGGTCTTGCTATGCAGTTCAGGCTGGCCTTGAACTCATAGCAATCCTCCTGCCTTGGTTTTCAAGTGCTGCGATTGTAGGAATGCGCCACCACACTGAGTTTAAGATGGACCTATCTAATAAAACACCGTGGTCTTACTCTTTTTCCCTCCCACATATCTGACTGCCTCTTTCCTACTTTAGGGTACAATTTCTTGCCCTGAGTTTTCATCTGCTGCACCTCCCCTGAGGTACAAACATCTTTGGGGTACCTGATATAAAGGGGCAATTAAGTAACACAAGGCACTGAGGGAAGAGCTTCGGAAGGCAAAGTGGAAAGTGCAGTGCGCGCGAGCGGGAAGTGCTGAGGGCCGAGGGGTCTCGCCT